AGGGAGAGGGGCTGGGAGCCAGGACTCCTGGGTTCTGGGGGGGGGGGGGGAGGGCTGGGAGCCAGGACTCCTGGGTTGGGGGGGAGAGGGGAGGGGCTGGGAGCCAGGACTCCTGGGTTCGTCGGGGGGGGGGCTGGGAGTCAGGACTCTTAGCTTCCCTGCAGGGCGGGGGAGGGGAAATCAAACAAGACCCGCCTCCCCCTGCCTGTTTTCTCCTCAGGCTCCATCCTTTAGGCTGCTAGGGCATCGCTCCCTCTCATTGGTCTCAGTCACTGCCAGTCACTCTCAGCCCGCCCCCCGACCCGATCCCAGTTTATGATTGGCCCCTTAGGGCCATGTGGGAGGAGCGCGGGGGCTGATTGGCTTAAACTTTGTGAGCTGAGGCGGACACGGGGCTCTGATTGGTTGATTGCACTCCGCACCGGAGGCGGGGTTAAGGGGGGGGGCGTGTTAGCCTGTATCTGCCGAAACAGCCGGGGGCCGGTGGCCCCAGGATTTGGGCCGAAGCTTCCGTGGGTGCAGCCGAAGAAGCGGGTTTTACCCACGAAAGCTTCGGCCCAACTCCATGTGTTCGTCGTTACGGGGCCACGGGCCTCTTGTTGTTTTTGAGGCGGGGTTAAGCTTATTAGGTGCCACGCCGCGATTGGTCGGGTCCGCTCTAAGGAGGCGGAAGAGAGGCTCTGATTGGTTCGAGCAGCCGTCAGGAGGCGGGACCCGGGGCGCCGATTGGCTGAGGCGGACACCGAGGCGGAAGTGGCGAGAGCGCCCGGCGCCGCGTGTCCCACTGTGCGGGGAGGCCGGGATGGAGGCGGCGGCGTGGCCCGGGCTGCGGGTGAGGGATCCGGGTGAGGGGCTGGGGAACGGGGTCTGTGGGGCTCACGATGGGGGTTGGGGAAGGGGATCTGGGTGGGGGCACATGGGGGGAGCTCTGGAGGGGGCCCGGGGGGCACACGGGGGGGGGCTGAGAGAGGGGGTCCGGGTGTGGGGTACATGGGGGAGCTCTGGAGAGGGTCCGGGGGGCACACGGGGGGGGGCTGAGAGAGGGGGTCCGGGTGTGGGGTACATGGGGGAGCTCTGGAGGGGGTCCGGGGGGCACACGGGGCGGGGCTGGGAAGGGGATCCGGGTGTGGGGCACATGGGGAGGCTGGCGGTGTACTGGTGGGAGGGGGAGTGGCAGGGGTGGCTCGGTTTAAAGTCTCCCCACCCTGCAGGAACAGTTGGTGTCCGACCTGCCCCCCGCGCTGGCCCTGCTGGGATCACTCCAGGAGCAGGTGAGAGAGACCCCGACCCCCCAGATCCTGGATCGTTGCCGCCCCCCAGGGGAAAGGCCCCTACTCACCCCCTTTCTGCCCCCCCCAGGTTGTCGGAGTCACGGCCCATGTCCAGGGGCTGCTGCAGAGGGTCCGAGCCGGCGCCTTCCCCACAGAGAAGGTGAGAGCGCGGGGGGACGACCTGCTGCGTTCTCTTCTCCCCCCCTCATGGTGATCCGCCCCCGACTCTGACGCCAGACCCCCCCCAGGTGTTCCCCCATCCTGCCCCCACCCCTGCTCTCCCCTACCCTGGGTGTGCCCCCCCATCTTGCCCCTGTCGCCCTGTCCTTCTCCCAGGTGTCCCCCCCCATCCTGCCCTGTCCCTCTCCCGGGTGCCTCCCCAATCCTGCCCCTGTGCCCCCATCCCTCTCCCGGGTGTCCTCACCCCCCCCCAATCCTGCCCCTGTGCCCCCATCCCTCTCCCGGGTGTCCCCATCCCCCCATTCTGCCCCCCCCCGTGATGCCTCTCCCCCTTCTGCAGGGGCTGAGTTTCCTGGAGCTGAAGGCCCAGCTGCTGCTGTTCTATCTCCAGGACCTGGCCCAGCTGGTGCTGGAGAAGACCTCAGGCCGGTCCCTGGCTGCCCAGCCGGCTGTCCTGCGCCTGGCCGAGCTGCGCACGGTGGGTGGGCGATGGAGCCTATGGGGGCCCAGAGGGAGAGGTCTTGGGGGGGCGGGGGGACTGCTGGAGGGCAGGTTCTGGCTCTGGAGGGTATCTCCAGGAGGGGAGTGGGGTCCAGTGGTTAGAGCGGGGGGAGGGGCTGTGAGCCAGGACTCCAGGGTTCTATCCCTGGCTCTGGAGGGGAGGGGGACTAGTGGTTAGAGCAGAGGGGGTACTGGGAGCCTGAACTCCTGGGTGCGGTGGGTGGTTCTTAGGGGGCAGGATCTCCCCACGTCTGACCCCACCACCACATTCTTCCTCCCCCCAGGTGTTGGAGAAGATGCGCCCCATTGAGCAGAAACTCCGGTACCAGGTTGACAAGCTGGTGAAGGTGGCTGTGACGGGCGCTGTGGGTGAGTTGGGGGCACCTAGGGGGGTGGGTGCGGGGTGACTGGGCCCTCTGCTGACCACCCCTCCCCGGGGGCGCTCTCGTTGCAGGAGATGACAATCCGCTGAGATTCAAACCAGACCCTGGGAACATGATGAGCAAGGTGAGGGGGAGGGGCAGGCAGGACTCCTGGGTTCTGTCCCTGGCTCTAGGAGGGGAGTGGGGGCTGGTAGTTAGAGCGGGGCGGGGGAGGGCCCGGGAGCCAGGACTCCTGGGCTCTGTCTTGACTCTGGAAGGAGGAATGGGGTTCCCCTGGGATTGGCCTGCTGTGGGGGAGGGCGGGACCAGCCCTTGATTGACAGGCTGTTTTCTCTTGGGCAGCTGAGTGACGAGGAGGAGGCGGACGGGACTGAAGGCAAAGCTGCTGGGAAGAAGCCCCTGGCCAAAGGAGGGGTCCGGAAATACGTCCCACCCCGGCTGGTCCCGGTGCATTATGGTACGTGCTGGGAGCCTGGCCACCTGGGCTCTAGCCAGAAAGAGAGCGGGATTTGTATAACCAGCCTCCGCACCCAGCCCCGCGCCCCACCCAGAGGTGGCCGCATCTCAGCACCGGGTGAGGGGTTCCCCTATACTCCGCCTCCGCGCCCCACCCCAGAGGTGGCCGCATCTCAGCGCCGGCTGAGGGGTCCCCCTATACTCCGCCTCCGCGCCCCACCCCAGAGGTGGCCGCATCTCAGCGCTGGGTGAGGGGTCCCCCTATACTCCGCCTCCGCGCCCCACCCCAGAGGTGGCCGCATCTCAGCGCTGGGTGAGGGGTTCCCCTGTACGCAGCCCCCGCGCCCCACCCCAGAGGTGGCTGCATCGCCATCCGTCCCCCCTTCTGCCCCTCCTCAGATGAGACGGTGGCCGAGCGGGAGAAGAAGGTCCTGGAGCAGGCGAAGAAGCGAGCGCTGAGCAGCTCCGTCATCCGGGAGCTGAAAGAACAGTTCTCGGAGGCACCGGAGGAAATCCGCGAAGGGCGCTACCTGCACGCGACCAGGCAGAGCCAGGAGGATGAGCACAGGTGAGTGTGGGCTAGTGGTTAGAGCACTGGGGGGCTGGGAGCCAGGACTCCTGGGTTCTGTCCTGGCTCGGGGAGGGGAGTGGGGGGCTGGGAGCCAGGACTCCTGGGTTCTGTCCTGGCTCTGGAGGGGAGTGGGGGCTAGTGGTTAGAGCGGGGGAGGGGCTAGGAGCCAGGACTCCTGGGTTCTCTCCTGGCTTGGGGGGCAGAGGGGAGTGGGACTGACGGTTCGAGCGGGACCCAGGCTCCCCGTTCCGGTCGTTGCAGGAGGCGCTACGAGGAGGCCATGCTGGTGAGGCTGAACGTGAGCCGGCAGGACAAGGCCCGGCGGCGCCGGGCGGCCGCGCTGGGGGCCCAGCTCCACTCCCTGACCCACTTCGGTGATATCAGCGCCCTGACCGGGGCAGCGCCCCCCACTGGAGAGGTGAGGCAGCGTGGAATGGGGGGGGAGGGGAGGAAGCTGGGGCTGAACCTCCCTCAGCTAATTATCTCCGTTCCCCTGCCAGGCTCTGAGCCCCCAGCGGAAGAGGAGGAGGAAGATGAGTGCGAAGAGGGGAAGGAAGAAGGGTGAGTGGAAGGGCAGCCCCTCCAAAGCCAGTGGCGGGGGGTTCCACAGGTGAACAGCAGCCCGCGGAGCTGCTAGAACCAGCTGGGAGTCTGGTCACCAGGGGCCTGGCCCTGGAAGGCGAGTGGGCTGTAATGGGTTAGAGCTGGGGGGGCAGGAAGCCAGGACGTCGGGGTTCTCTGCTGGCTCTAGGAGGAGAGTGGGGGCTGGGATCTGTCACTCGTCTGCTTGCTCTCCTTCCGCACTCCCTTATTCGCTTTCTTTTGTAGGTTTCCGGAGGCAATAGTGGAGCGACGCTCCCCCCCGCCGCCCCCCCCCCCCATGGAGCGATGACCCCACCCCCACATCACCCCCCAGCAACTCTCACATGTGGACAGAATGTTTAGACAATAAAATCAAGCCCCTGAACATGTCTCTTGGTCCAAGTGTCCACTAGGGGGCGCTGCGCCCTGGGGCCCGTCGCCTGGCCGGTCACTAGGGGGGCGCTGTGCCCTGGGACCCGGGCCGGTCACTAGGGGGGCTCTGTGCTGCTGGGGCCCGTCCCCGGGCCGGTCACTAGGGGGGCGCTGTGCCCTGGGACCCGTCCCCGGGCCGGTCACTAGGGGGGCTCTGTGCTGCTGGGGCCCGTCCCCGGGCCGGTCACTAGGGGGGCGCTGTGCTGCTGGGGCTCGGCCACAAGGGGGCGCTGTGCTGCAGCATTGCCTGCGCAACTTAGGCCAAGGGTCCCCCCAAGGGAGCTGACGGACGCTGGGTCCCCGTCCTATCCCATTGCTCGGCAACCGGAGCCCAGCATAACCCTTAACACCTCCCCTAGCCCCCAGCTCTTTGCCATGTCTGAACTTCCCTCCCCCCCTCGGTCTGGCTGCCTCATCCTAGCGAAACTGGGTTGAATTTGGGGGGGGCAGCTGTCCATGCTCTCCCCCAGGGGATCAAACGGGGGCGGGTCCCACAGCTGCAGCTTTCCTCTGTTTCCGCCCTCGGGCCTGGGGCCAAGCCGGGCGCGTGCTGGCGTGTGACTGGGGGTCACGCTGCAGTGAGCCACCGAGGCCAAGGGAGCAGGGAGCCGCTCGGCCGTGGGCCGGCCCCATGGCGCTCTGGTGTTAGAGCCCTGTTCTGTGACCGGGGGATCCTTAGATGGGCTGCAGCTGGGAGGAGGGGGCCGGTCCGTGCCCACTCCCCCCCCAGTGCTAGGGGGCACTGTGCTGTGGAGGGGGGGGCTGGTCCATGCCCAATCTCCCCCCGGCACTAGGGGGCCGGTCCGTGCCCAATCCCCCCCCGGCACTAGGGGGCCCCATTTCACCCTCCGGCCCCCCCGCCAGTTCCATGACTTTGGAGGGGCCCCGTGTGGCCAGCATCTCAGGCTCAGAAGTGTTGTCGCCATGGGGGGGCAGCTGCGGGTCCCCGGCCAGCACCCCCGCCAGGAGTAGCTCCTGGTAGTGCCGGGGGCGATGCCGCTGGAGGTAGATGCTCATCTTGCCCGGCACACGGGTGGCACCGTCCCGCCCTAGGAGGGGAGAGAAACCCTGGTCAGTGGGGGCGTCCCTGTCCCCCAGCCCCTGCTCTGGTGCCCCCAGCGCTGCTCACCCAGTGCCCGCCGGAGCTGCAGCACCTCCTCCAGCGCCACCGGCACGTCCTCCTGGGCCCCCACCAGGGCTTCCACCTCGGCCACAGCATAGCCGAAATCTGCCTGGTCCAGGTCCACCCGCAGGCCCCCCAGCCGGTAGCTGCGGCGCTGGGTCACGAAGCTGGCAAACTCCTGCAGGCCCAGCCCAGCCACGGCCCCAGGCACCTGGTCCCAGCCAGGCACGGGGGCCACGCCCAGCACCCCGCATAACCGGCCCACGATGGCGCGGGGGCTCGTCAGCTCCTGGTAGGTGGTGGCCATGGCGGGAGGCTCCGGGGACAGGGCATCTGGGACATGGCTGGAGTCTCTGGCGCCCCCTGCTGGCGGCTCCGGGGACAGGGCAGCCGGGACAAGGCTGGACCCTCCGGTGCCCTCTGGCGGTTCCGGGGACGCGGCACCCAGGTCATGGCTGGACCCTTCGGCTCCTCCGTGTGGCACCGGGGGGCACTTGAGCTCCCAGCCGGCCCCCTGGCGGAGCCGCAGCCAGTGGTCAGCCCGCGTGAGGCGCAGGTCGGGGGTGTCGTAGTAAAGGTCACGGAAGGACGAGCTCCCGGCCGGGGCTGCCCCCAGCGCCGCCAGCCTGGCCTCCGTGTCTGGCCCGGCCTCGAACTTCGACTCCACCTCGATGCTGCCCGACGGCATTGCGGCCCCTCTGGGGACAGGAGAGAGGGAGTGAGCCACGGAGCGACCCCCTGGTCCCGGCCCCCCGCTCCTTCCCTGCTTTTTCCCCAGAGCACCCCAGCTCAGCTCCCTGCCCCACATTACACCCCCCACCCAGCCCCACAGTGCCCCAGCCCAGCTCCCTGCCCCACAGCACCTCCCATCCAGCTCCACTCCCTGCCCCACAGCACCCCCCCACACCCAGCCCCACTCCCTGCCCCACGATACCCGCCACGGTACCCCAGCCCAGCTCCCTGCCCCACAGCACCCTAGGCCAGCTCCCTGCCCCACGATACCCGCCACGGTACCCCAGCCCAGCTCCCTGCCCCACAGCACCTCCCATCCAGCTCCACTCCCTGCCCCACAGCACCCTAGGCCAGCTCCCTGCCCCACGATACCCGCCACGGTACCCCAGCCCAGCTCCCTGCCCCACGGCACCTCCCATCCAGTCCCACTCCCTGTCCCACAGCTCCCTGCCCCACGGCACCTCCCATCCAGTCCCACTCCCTGTCCCACAGCTCCCTGCCCCACGGCACCTCCCATCCAGTCCCACTCCCTGTCCCACAGCTCCCTGCCCCACGGCACCTCCCATCCAGTCCCACTCCCTGTCCCACAGCTCCCTGCCCCACGGCACCTCCCATCCAGTCCCACTCCCTGCC